ACTTGACGTATAGCCTAATGCAAGGCCATAGAACTTCAGCCCGTTGCTTTAGTTCTAAAAATAAACCCAAAAATACTGAATCATCATTGGAAGTGAAGTATCACCTTGAGAACACTAGACATCAGGATGAAAAAAATGCATATGTATTTTGCAAGACACTTGAAGAATTAAAAAAAAAAGACATTTTCCATTCTATAAAACACACAGAAATGTATAATTGTGGACTACAGGACTTTAAATATGTTAACCTGTAATATTTTAATGGAAATCGATTAAGTCACCTTAAAACACTAGGTTTACGAGCAACGTCAAGGTGAAAACAAAGTGAAGAAAAGACACTGGTGCACTGGCAAAGTTCACACAAACTGTTTTGCTTAATGCTTGGTAAAACCCAGTAAAAATGTTTTGATATGAGCAGCAATCATGGCCCAAGCCCAACTATGATTACGCAAATGGATCCAGCGGGCCATGTATACCATCAGCTGTACCAGTAATTCCCAGAGGAAAGATGGAAACACTTGGTCATTTGATTGGATACAATCTCCAACAGGCAGAGAACTTCAATATATTTCCACTGCACTTAGTACAAAAAAAGTTATTAAATTTTAGAAGAAAGAGACTCTTCCAAACTCAGCACAGCTTTAGTATTTGTCTACCAACCACCATTTGGTACTGCTGACCTGCTGGCTAACACACAGTTGTCCTAGGGAGTACATTTATGGGATCGCTTCCACATTTCATCAAACAAATTTGTCATGCCAACCACAACTCAGGATGACTTCAATCCCAGACATCACTGCAAGGGTCTGCCAGAAGGGGTTGAGTGATTTGACTGCAGAGAAAGCAAACATAGTCTGCTTCCAAATGAACCTTCTAAATGAGGTGGGTACCCTACTTCTAATTACTCCAGCAAAGATGATGAGAATAAGCAACAATCTTTCAATGGATGGGAATCAGTCAGTAAAGCAAAGCAAACTTGTCACAGTGTAAAAGAAAGTGGCCCTACTATTTGCTCAAGCAGCTGTACAAAGGACTTTCCAAAAGCCACAGTAATGCAGACGGCAGCAGGCACCCACGAAGAAAGATGCCGTAAGATATCACCGCCTATTGAAAGAAATTTTTGGGGAAAAAACCCGACGGTGCCTTTTCTTACGTTTTCCTTTACCTGTCTTGTTCACCAGTTTCTCCATGCCTGTCCACCTCACTAACATGTTGTCACTTGAAGAATCAAACTTACAAACAGAAAAACTATGTTTTTTGCCTCACCCATAGAGGTTGGCAACATTACTACTTGTTTCACTTTCCATCTAGGAAAAAAGAGTCTCTTCGATGTTCTTCAATAAAAGTTTTATTTTTTCTTCAGACCTTCTCCCCCTTCAAAAAAAGCAGGTAATCATTACCACGGCCTCTAAAATGCTCGGGAACAAATGTCATACAGGATATACAGCCAGCCCAACAAAGTCATCCTTCCAGGCCATTAGCGTATTTCAAGGTTTCAATCTTTGAATTCCAAATCACCGGCCTACAGTTTGGCTCCCTCTCTCCAGAGATGATATCCAGAGTAAAAATAAAAATCATCCCACAAACAACAAGTTAATCCATAAAGAGTTTTTTCTTAAAAAAAAAAAAAAAAAAAAAAGGAACTTACCTTCATTTTTATTGTTTATAAGAGTGGTTCTCATTTGTATTTTGGAAGAACCATGACACATATCAGCAGTAGTTGGCATTCATGATTATACACTTTTTTTTGATCAAGACATAAGATCAAGACCCAGAAGGAAAAACAGAGGTATAACAAATGGCACTGGATTTCAACCACCAGATTCAAAGAATATTGTATGGCATGAATTACAAAGAAAATATCCATGAAACAGAAGTAAAGCCCCAGTCACTAACCCAGGCAGTTCACAGAAGGGTTTAAATTACCTAATATTCAACATTCCAGGTTAACCTGCAGTTACGTACTTCCCAAATCAGTGTTCACTATATTTAAATTATTTATTATTTAATGATTTTTCAGGCACAGCTATAAATTTCATTTCAAGACAAAACTTGTCAAAAATGAACAGCAATTTAGAGAAAAAGAAATTGCAAACAAGACAGCTTGACCACATCCGAGTCCAAAAGCATTAACAATTTCGGCATCTCAAATAAACTTTGCACTTACACAATTAAAGAATGTATCTGATTTTTAAAATAAAAAAAGTACTTTATCACTTCAGACATTTTGCGAAAGAGGCTTTCACCCGACGGACATCACACGCCACCTGCCCAGTGAGGACAGCCATGCTCAACAGACCTTTCATACAAGTCAACATTTCAAACACAACTTAAGTCAACCAAGAAGAGTAATGAGCAGTGGTCACTCTTAACCTTAGTCCAATGTCCAGCAAACAGAATTTTTCTGCTCATTTTTTAAGCCTACTGAAACCAATATCCCACTGTCCATCTTTGATCAAAAACAGCGACACACAAAGAGCAAGTATTGGCCACAGCACAGCCTATGGGCCCAACTCCACAAACCCAACAGAACTTCTTCTGAAGTCAAGGCAAGTTTTTGGCAATCCTTTCAACATGCAGAGTGGTCCCTAAATTTCTCTCCTACTTCCAGGGATGATCCCTTCAAGACTGGCTTAAGCCACATTATGAGGATAGGGAAACTTGCCAAAGCAATTAACCATGATTTATCTGTCTTGGGAACACAGGCCTTCAGTCTTCTAGTCTATCAGTTCAGCACCTCTGCTCAGCAGTCAACTTGCTTAAAATATAAGCCCACCCGGGGCACCTTTCACTGGGTTCTACAGGTCTGTTCTCCCGCGGCAGCACAGATGTAACTCCATTAACGGGAGACACACGTGCACCAACAGTACAGTAAGGCATCTTCTTCTGTCAAGCGTCCTGAAGGCTGTCTGTCTCCCTTTGACCTTAGCCTTCCAGCCTCTGGATACAAATATTTTTTTTGCAGAACACTGCCTGGATGCATATTAACTATGAGATAAAAGCATTTTTGGTTTTGGGTGGCCACTTTTTTACCCAAAAGACAAGAATGGCTCCAAAACAACAACGGCTTTTCACTCACAGGGATGACTTCTTGTAAAAATAAAAACAAGGAAGTTAAATCCAAGAGAACCATAATGCTTTTCAATTAAGGGCAAGGATGTGAAATTACCACACAGAACACAGGAAATTCAAAGTTAGGCTGTCACCTCATTCCCTTCTTCACCCCAAAACCTTCCTCTCCCGTCAGCACACCCTTTGACCACCTCCGGAGCGACGAGTGAAGGATGGCGTGTCAGAGCCTTAACTTTGAATCTTTTTGGCTTCCCTCGCAACCTTCGTTAAGAGCACGAAGAGCCGAGGAGTTTAAATTTTAATATTTTGCATCGCCGCAGCTCGCTGCAGGGCCAAGGCACAGGATGGTAGCCCAGGACTTTGGTACAGACACAAATCCAGGAGGAAAGCCCCTCTGCTCTGCTCTGCCCTCCCCCCACCCCCCCGGACACATGCAATAACTCGGCTTTGCACACATTTTTGCACACCGCCGGGCTCGCACTTCGGCGTGCTCACTCCCGGAGCGAGTCGCGGCTGTCAGCGCTGCTCCCCACCACCCCGC